GCTATGGAAACCCCAGCGCAACAGGGGAGGCAGCCGGCGCGAGGGGAAGCTCCTGCTTCTGGGTCACGGGTGCCACGAGTCTGCCAGGTCTCTGCCGTAATCCGTCTCAGGCCCCGGCTGAGCCGCCTTGCGTGCACTGTGTCTGTGTGCCGGTGACTCGCCCTCTTTCTCGCTGAGGTTTCCATCCTCCCCTCCCACTTTCCGGGCTGCTCGAAGCTCCGCCAGCACCGTGCTGAGCACCGCTGCTGCAGGGGCCGTCCCTGTGGGGTACAAGGGACCGTTCTGGATCCTCCGGCTGGCAGTCACTGCTCTGCTCACATCTCCCTGCTGATCCCCCGTGCCGGGTGTACGGGGCACGCAGAGCTGCTGCGCTCTGCCTGGAGCAGCCCTTGGTGCGGGCTGAAGCGTCACGAGTTGCGAGTGCTCAGCTGCCGCGTGGGACACCTGGGCAGGTGAGGGGGTCGGGCGCGCTGCGCGACCCCGGTGTTGGCACCAGGGAGGACAGAGCGCTTGGGAGAGCCCCGCGAGAGGAGAGCGCCAGACACGGTGGCCCAAAGGCCGCCCTGACGTTTCCCGCGCACGAGGGCCGGCATGAAGAAGCCGGCTGCTCCTGGGAGCCCCGCGGCACAGGGAGGCTCCCCCAGCTCCCCACGGGGCAGCCGATCGTCACCCATCTGCTTGTGCCATGCGGGGCGGCCGGGACGTGTTTCCTTGTCCTCTGGCAGGGGGGAGGGTGCTGAGCCAGGGCTTCTCCATCACAGAGACATCCGAGTGGGAGATACCCTGCTCCATGGGAGACATCAGGCTGGGGCAAATGCCCCGATTGGCTCCTTCTGCAGCCAGAGGGGCCGCGGCTTCTGCCTGGGTTTGGGGTTGCGCTGGAGGGCTCCGTGGTCCCAAGGGCAACTCTAGGGGCCACCAGTGCTTTGTGGTGCCGCCCTGCACAGGAGTGGCTGTTGGTCTTTGGGGACCCCTGGCTGCTGGTGCTGGCTGACGCAGTTCTTGTCAACCCACGTCCTGGGCTGGTGCCAGGCGGGCGGGGGAAGGGCCGGAAAAAATGCCAGGCGGACGGGGAAAGGCCCGGCAGCAGCCGACATCTCCGTGCGGAGGGCAGGGGGAGGGTTGAACAGAGCCTGCTGTGTCCTTGCTGCCTCGCCGAGCATCTTCGCCTGTCTCTTGCCTGCCGCCAGGATGCTACAGCGTTGAGCGCGGTGACGACCTGACCTACATTCCCGCAAGGAAGGTGTCCCGGCCGGGCGCGCGCCGCCCTTTCGCTGCAGCCACGCCATGGAGCGGCACAAGTGACACGAGGGCTGGGGCCGCCACGTGGGCCACGCACCAGGCAGTGGGACATGGCCAGGTCAGCACCCTGGCTGCACTGGATGGGACGGGACCCGGGCAGCGGCTCCCGGGAGCTGAAGCGCTGGGCGGAAGAGGAGAAGGAGGAGGAGGAGAAAGATTTTGCAGAGCACATAGACGCGGGTGGAGTCATTGGCCTGGAGGAGGGGCTTGTGGCCGTCTCTGGCCGGCCCCGGGAGTCCCGTTTCGTGGAGGCGCTCGGCCGGCAGGTCCTGGATGCCCCCGCTCGTGTCAGGAGGTTCAGCTGTCGGGAGCAGCAGGAGTTTGGTCAGGAGGAACCGGGCGCAGAATGGGAGAACGCCGGGAGTGCCGCACCGGGTGAGTCTCTGCTGCCCTCCCTCACGCCTTGCTCCCGTCTGTGCTGCTGCGCCCACAAGGTGCCACCAGCCCCGTGTCCACCTCGAGAGCCTCAAGGGACCCCAGGGGCTCTCATGTATGGGCTGGGTGATGTGGAACTTGCTACTCTAGCATGGGGCTGCACGTGCTCCCCGGGGACACTTTGGGCTGGCTGTGAGTGTGCTCGAGGTCACAGCTGAGACTCTGGCAGCTTCTGGGGGGGCTGCTGCAGGGCTGCCCCAGCCATGGCATCCATCCCATGGCAGTTTGGGGCTCCTGGACGTCCCTGTTTCTCGCCCAGCCTGCATGGACGCTCCAGAGCCGGGCGGGGAGGTCGTTCACTTGGTGACCGCAGGTTTGTTTTCCAGGGGACGTTGAGGATCCCGGTGACAGGACACCAGCAGAGCTGGCTTACTGGCAGCCACAGCAGGACGTGACTGAAGAGGAGGAAGAGGAGCAGGGCAGCTCAGGGGACGAGGAGAGGCTGGAGGGGACCTCGGGGGCCGAGAGCAACGGCGAGCTGTACCCAGAGCTCTCCTACGAGGGCCAGTGCGGCTCCGAGCGCAGCAGCAGCCCTGAGGCTCCGCACTACAGCCCGACCCTGTGCAGCCCCTACGAGAAATCGCAGAGCTTCAGCACGGATGGTGGGGAGACCTCGGATGTCAGCCGCGGCCCATCCCCTCCCAGCCGGCGTGCACCTGGCCGTGCCTGTGAGCGCGGCCGCCGGCTGAGGC